GGGAAAGAGGGGATTAATTCCTGGTAAACAACCTCAGAGCATTTGTATGCATTCCTGTTAAGGGTAGGGCAGCATTGTATTGCCTTAGCTCAGTCATCTTTATCTGCAGTTGTCATATCCCAGGGGACGGTATCAACTCCCGATCCTTCCTAGGACACACACATCGTTTTAAGGCAGCTGTCGAGCGGTACCTCACCAGCAAACCCCAGCAACTCAAGCTTTCTGCCGGTACTACCTTACTGACATTGCAGTAGGTGCTCTCTTATTTCTCACCACGCTCCACTGGGATTCTTTGCAGCCTCTTCAATGACTGCTGCCAGCTAACTGGAAATGCTAGTTACTTTCTAAAAGGGGTAGCGGATGTATTCTGTAAATATACCGCTTTAATTTTGAGCTAGGTAATTAAAAAACAAGGAAACAATGTGCCAAACCCTACAAAGGATTGGCTCTTTCCTTCGCAGGCCACGCACAGTCTAACTGAACCTGTCTACAGAATAATACAATTCCAACATGACGGCAAAGAACCAAAACTGTGAAGATGACGCTGAAGATGATGTTCTAACCTCCAGATCAGCTCATCGTGGCTGGTCAGCATCTCCTCTATCACGCCTACCCTTCACAGCCCTGCCCGATTGCAGGCAACACGCTACAACATGGGACAACCGCACCGGTGGGCAGAGAAGCCCAGTGCCTTTCGGACTGGGAGCAGCATCCCGGGGAAGAGTTTGCTAGAAGAATAACCTTTACCCGTGGCCAAGCCCTGCAGTTTTCACTCCGTGAGAACACAAAATGAAACGTAAGCAGAGTTTTGACCGTGTGTCCTTGTCAGGTTCTACTCGGGTGTTATCCTAGACTGCAGCTAAGCAATCTGCTAGAAGGTTTTTTTTTTTTCCTGTCTTATTCATGCAAAACGCTGTAACAGAAGATGTTAAAGGAACTTACCCTTTTCCTGTGGGGACTAATCTCTAGCTTCATCACTGCACATTTGTTTAAGGTATTTAAGCGCCTGCAAAGCAAGAGAAACCATATTAAGAGAAGGCTCCAGTGTTTTGACACAGGCTATTCCAGTTCAAAAGCTTTTGTGAAGGCTGTCCCCAAACTGCTTTGCATACAAATAGCCACAAGCAGAGTTTCAATTAGAGCCCTAATTATACTTAACCATTAACCCATCACATTTGGCTGTATTCTAACTTCAGAGGGAGGGATGGACACCTATTTGTCCCAATTACCTGAATCAAAGTAAAGAGAAGCGAACGGAAACTTAGACTAAGTTGAGAAGTGCATTAAATCCAATGAATTGTAATAATTACATTTGTTTAAATAGCAGACATCCGAACCCTGAAACAATCAATCTTGACAGACTGAAAGTAACGGAAGAGGCTTCTCATTTGACACAGTGCACATGTGCCTGTGTGAAAAAAGCAGGCTGCTTTCAAATTGTACTTTATAAGCTAAAACCTCCCAGAGGAAAACTTATTTTTCCACTTATTAGGTGTCTATTTTGTTTGTCACCAATGATTATTTTCAATACAACTCCCCACTTTAGAAAAAAACATCACAAAATACAGACTTGATTTTTCCTTCCTAAACTGAAAGTTTCTTTTACACATAAAAATGTTGTTCTGAAGGACTAAAATTTAAACAAAAACAGATTGCTGCAGCAACAATAGTTAACCAGCCTCCTTGCGAAATGTGATAGCAGCCTGTAGGCATATCTTGAAGTACTGTATGCATGTATATATGCATCTCTCTGTTCCCTGATCAGCTAATGATCTGCTAGGTACCCTAAAACAACAAAAAAATGACCTCTCTTCTCCCGTCCCCCAGAATCTCAGCACTCAGGGCTGAGCACAGACCTCTTAAAGCAGAGCAGAACTTGGCACTGTTGAACACGCACAGCGAAGTGCAGGCTGCTGCGGTCTCCTGCCCTTCTCCCAGCCCTCACCTCCCCAGAAGCTGCCGCAGGGACATGGCTCAGCTGAAATCTGCACTGGTGAAGCACGGTTAGAAAAATGCTGGTGCTACGGCAAGGCGAAGGGCAGGAACAGGCTGGGCGCGATGCCAAAGGCAGGAAAGCTGAAGCGGCAGCGTCACGGAAGTGATGGTTCAGTCCCTTGAGTTAACGCTTCCACTCATGAGGCTGCGCTGCGAGACTGACCGAGCTGAAAACCAACCTTTCAAGACTTTGTTGGGTTGAATTTCTCCCAGGTCAGCTCCCCGAGCTGCGTGACGGGTAGCATGTGCAGAGGGGAGGCAGAGGAGCAGAGCCGCCCCTTCCCTTCAGCTGGACCGCAGCCCGAATTCAACGGGAGCAAAACTGAGCTTTAAAAAGCCTAATTCTTTCTGAAGGAAGTTGTATAATTTTCACATAATTCATTTGAGCAAAGCATAAAGAGCATGTATCAGCAGCTTTGAAAAACTACAAAAAAACCCAGAAATGCTGACTTGTCCTGTTGCTTCAGATGAGTCTCTTCAGATTCATGAAACTGGTAACTTGAATCTTGAAAATGTGAGCATGGGAAGAATTACTAGCTTGCTCTCTTTCCCCCTCGCCTTTTATGCACAGGATTGGTTGCAGATGGTATTTACACAGGGCTTGATCCTGAGGCCATCAAAGAAAATGGAAAAGCTCCTACTGGTGCTTTTGCTGCAGTTGTGAAGATGAAAAAAAAAAAAAAAAGCAGTTTGATCTATAATTAGACCCAGCCACAACACAGCAGAAAAGAAGAGAAACAGGAAGAATTGCCATGGGTCAAATAGTAGGGCAGTGGCAGGTTACAAAAGTTATCCAGATCTCTCTACTTTCATCTTTGCTCCGAGTTTCAAAGGCAGGAGGCTCAGTCCTGCCGGCTGCAGCTGGTGGGTACGCGCACGAGCCCAGCGAATTTCAGAGGAACTGCATTCACGGCGTGGGTGAAGGGTGACTGTCCCATCTACGTGCTACACAATAAAACTGGTATTTTGGTTTTCAAGAGGCCACACAGCAGCAGAAAGCTGCCTCCCTCTCTCTGCTGTAAAAACATTCTCCACTCAAACTCCCGGACCTCAAGACCAGGGGGTATTAAACTGGTTTCAGTTCTATATTGTGTAATAATTTACAAATTTCACAGTGTTGCAACCTTTGACTTATGCAGAGAGAAATTATCACCAAATCCCTGTATCAGGCTTTATCTAGCTCCAGCCTGTCTGACTGCTAATAAAGATGATCTCTGATTTCACAAAGATTACATCCCCAGACTTTTCTCCTACTCACATTAAAACCCTGAAATAGATGGTAAAGGGTAGAGCAAAGGGTTTTTAAGGAAAAAAAAAATCTCTCAGCCCACACCTCACAAAAATGAGTATGAAGGCAAGATAAAGTAACCCCCAATGAGCGAGGTTAAATACAATAGCAGCGAGTCAAATAAAGGCTCTGTTACACATTCGACGTGACTTCATCACAAAACCAGTTTCCCTTCTAAAACCTAAGTGCTCTGCAGCGATTGCCTCAGGTCTGCAACTTTCATTATATACATCACACATCCTGCTTTAACTTCTGCTCGAGCTCAGCAGTGCCCAGTTCCTTGAGCTACAGGACACCGAAAACACAGCGCAATATGCAAAACTGCCTCCCAAACACATAAATGAGTCTGCAGAGCTAAGCTGAGAAAGTTTAGGCTTTGCCAGGATGAGAGTTACCTATACAACTGTCATTAACCTTCACATGTGCTTTGCAATACTTTTTAAGCTTGTAAGCACACACTCGTTCCTTACAGATCTTCTCATCAAAATGATGTTTGTTAACGAACCGCAATTCTCTCTTCTGGCTCCGGACCTGCTCCTTTGCTAATTCCATTCCCAGGTATAAATTCAATTTATCATTTCCCTACTGACAGGCAGCAGGTCTGCCTCATTCTTTAGCTGCCTTATTATTCTCACTCTGCCCAAACCTGCCTCAGCGACACCTTCACAAGGACGAGATGGGAGACGGAAGGACAGACAGCAGTTACAGCTGCTTTCACTGTCTGGCTATCTCGGTCTCAATTTCTACAATGCCTCCTACCCCAGCCACTTTCTGGATGACAAGATAATATTCTTTCCCATCATTTAGATAAATGCCTTTGAGTCAGCCCTCTCTCTACACATCTTGACATCCAGATGGTATCTTACTCCAAGACGTCGCTTCCCTTCACCTTCCACGTGCTCCTACCCAGGCTCTCACCCTTCTTCACCCCATCTCTGCCAAACCCTTCTTCCCGAGGGTGACCAATGCGACAGGACCTGCCTCTCGGTCCCAGCCACTGCGTCGAGCCTGGCCCGCATCAGGCTGGAAGCCTAAGGCTCCTCAGGAATGGCCAAAGTAGTTTAGCCTCAACTTCTTCTAAGAAAGGCAGCATGAACAAGACATCCACTATCAGAAACTGCAGCGTCAACAGCTAACTTCAGCTAATTTATAGATTAAAATACAGATTTACAACGTGAAGTCTTTGTTAATCTAGATACCGGTCAGTTCTACATTCGCTATAACCTCAGGTAATTCATTCTGCTCTCCTTAACAGGAGAAAATTCTCACCCCATGCACCCAAGAAAAGTGGTAGCAATGCAGAATATCAGATTTATGCACTTTAAATGACAATCTTCAATCTGAGTAACTGTATGATTTGGCCTTGAAGTTTACAGTATTTTCTTGATGGGTTTAAATTCCTAATTCCTTCTTATAGGGCAAATTCCCACTCCATTATACCTGTAACTAATTGATGAGACAAGGGTTTTCTCATCTCAATGCAGTGGACAGCCTCTGCGCTGGCTCCTGGGGTTCACCTGCGCCTTGTAGCCTGCAAAGGAGGCCAGCTGTCTACAAACCGAATGACACGAGCTGCAAAGGGTGCTCACGCCCATCCATTACAATCAATTTCTTGGATGAGAAGTCCTGACGGTAAAAGAATTAAGAAACCTCTTGCATAGATACTGTGGCAGTTTTCTAGCTATGCATAAGGAGATTAAATAGGATTTCCATCATGGTTTGCTATGTATTTTGTACTTAGCAACAACCCTTAGGGTAGAGCATGTTTCAGTACTTAGTTTCATCAGCGCATTATGCAGCCAGTTATCCTCCGGAGATAAATTCCCAGTCATTAATCTACATAAAGTCTTATGAAACCAAGGCCAGCAGTACTTTGCGCAGTCACTGCACGAAGCAGCCTAGCAAATTAAAGTTGAGTCATCGCGCCTACATTTTTAACCCTACATTTCATGATAAGATCACTAAATGACATTTCTTCACCATCTGTCTTCTACTGTTACCGAGTGCCATATGCTATCTCTGTAATTAAAGTCTCAACCCACTTTTCACTTAAAATTTTTCAGGAAAAACCTTAATGGGGTGGCTATTGATACTTTTTCCATTTAGAAAGCAATTTGGCAAAACACTCACTAACAAGCTGTTTTTAAAGTTACATTAGTTTTTCTGCTTCCATTAACAAGATTATTAGATGATAATTTCTAATACTGTTCAGATGTAAACTATCCCTTAAAATGCTTCAAATTTTTAAAAAATCCTTGTCACTGTGATTTCTACAGTCCTTTTCAAAATTACTTCTTCACATGCAGTAATTAGAAGAAGGTAATTAGAACTGTTGACAGTGCACTGGTTGTTACATAGAAAAGCAGATTCTCAGTGTTACCATCCACTGCATACAGTGTTTATTCAGCTCTGTTGAAGAAATGCAAATAATTCCAAAACTATTCTGATTTTCAGTCAAGAAACAGTGATAGACTTACAGCTGTGAAACAGCTCTAAGTCTTTTCCTGAGAAAAAAACCCTTTACTGTTTACCCACTGACCATGGCATGAGTCAAAATAAACCCGGGCTTCAGGCAGAAATGCAGCATTCCAAAGGATATGCCTTCGCCATGTTTTTTAATGAGCTTTCCAAAATTAAACAAGGCGATGTGGAAAAAAAATCTGAAGGTGGAAATATTGTGATAGCGTAGTCTTTTTATCTAACTCAAATGGTAAAGGGCCGAATTCAGACATCCGAGAAGATGAACTGAATTACTTTGGTTTTATTTTGAGGTGGGGTCCGAATGGTTCTGGAGAAACTTTAGCTTTGGTTTTAAAGCTATCTTGTAAAAGATAACTCTGGATATATAAGCCATAGGCTTTAGAATGATATAGTTCAGCCTTTAAAATCTCTGTCTTAAGCTACAGTAAGACCGGTGGATTCCTATACATATTACATAGAAAAATATTTGAAGATGAAAGAGGTTATTTTACAATCAGCAGACTTAAGGAAACACCTCCTAGTTTCACCTAGTGTCTATATGTCCACATCAGTTTAGTATGCTTGGCTTTGTCAGGTTTAAAATATAAACTTACATTCTTAGGATACAGATCTTTTTACTGTCCTCCATGTTCAGAAACAGTGGTAACTGCTTTTATTGATCACACTAGCAGCAAATCTCATAGAGATACGGAGGGCATATTCTCACTTTCACCAGCAAGAAACAATCTGCTACCTTTTTTTCCCATATAAATAAATAATCACAGGGTGAAAAAGTATTCTCACAGGCAAGCACTAGGTCCAAAATACACTGACTTGAATCTATTTTGTTTTCCTGGCAAGGGAAGACCATGCTTCTGGGAACCAGCATTTATTCACATTGCTGTACTTTCTGTTCAATGACTTCACAAGTTCCAGAGCACCCAAATAAGCAGACCGATGCATCACATTTTAATATCCGTGGAGTAGGTGCCCTACGCTGCATCTTGAGTGTGAATTTAACATTAATGAGATTTTTCCCCTCCCAGTGACTGGACAACAAATCTGTTTTCTTAGTTTGAAAATCTTGTAAATATTTCTGAAGACCTTTAAATTCCAGTCCCTCTCTGTCCCTCCCAAGTATGGCAGCGATGGCATGAGAAGACTATAAACTTAAAGCCTTTCTTAAAAGGGTTTCGTAATTCATTAGGATTGCTGACATTTAGAGTTGCCGACATCGTGCATGTAGTATCCAAAAGCATTCATTTTGCAGACAGTCTGGAAGGCTGCCATAATGGGAGGACAGAGGCAGAAAACCACACTCATTTCTAGGTAATAGGAGATATGAAAAGTTCAGGTATTTTTTTGCCATTTAAGATTGCGGACTCGCACTAGGGGAGGTAACTGATGGATGGGCACGTGTCAGATGGGGCCACTGCAACTGCTCTTCTGATGAAATCGGTAATGCTGAGGCTGCACTTCTGTAAAAACGTGCTGCCACACACCAGCAAGTCTTGCTCCCGCTTTTTCTCTACCCACCCCTCCTCCTGCCCCTGCAGCTGGCTCTGGGGTCCTGTCCCATCCTTTGCACCTACTCTGAACCCCACCACGCCTTCCCATGGGCCGATTTAGTTTACTAACCCAGCAGAGAACTATCCAGACTCTTTGTGCAGGGTGAGTCAATCGCACCGGTTCGTGGAAGGAGCGCATGAACAACAAAGATCGGCGACGGGAGCACAAGGCTGAGGGCAGGGCAGCCTTTGCAGCGATGGTGAACTCTCAGATTCGCTCACGTTATCCCTCGCCCACATTCACCCTGGTGAACACGGCGCACGCAGGGCGATGCACTGAGGTCAGCATGAGGGTTTGTATACACAGCTTTTTGGTTTGTTTGTACACATAGCTGCTCACCAACGTAAGAAAGGCAAGCAATGCAGGGCAGCAGCATCGCTTTGCTAAAACGGCTCTCGAAAAACAATTCCTGTGTGGGAACTGGTGCTACAGCTGGATGCAGGTGGCTGTAGCCAGCGTAGTTCTGCTTCCAAGTACCTAACTAATTTGGGAATTAGTAACGAAAGCAAATTAAGAATAATGATAAAAAACATGCCTGTGAAATACCCATCACAAAGACTCCTGCCACCTTACCCCGTACTCTGTTTTAAATAAGATGCCCAAACATTACTTAGGCCAATGTATTATTCTAACAAAAACTGCATACTGATAGTGGATAATAAAAAGCTCTCAAGCAAACAGTTATATAATGGCACATAATTCAGTCGAGGTTATGCTGTTCCCAGGTTATACTTTCTATTACACAGGAAGGATTTTTTTTCAAAATGCTGCATGATTTTTTTTCACCTACCTGCATAAGGCCTCAATAGCATCTCTGTCCAGAAAGTCATGCTCTCTCTTGACTAGAGCGATGTCAATTGGAAAAAGGAGATCTGCAGGAATAGAGAGAGACGAGGAATCAAAACGACTCTTACTCCCAGCAGTGAGTTACTTCCAAACAACCAGCTTGCCTCCAGCTGAGCTCACTAGGATGCCAGTGACTGGCACTTCTCAGGTAAACTCACGTTACCTACTCAAATGCCAGAGATGCTTCCTTTTCACGTACAGGCTTCTGACGGGCGGCTTTGATAACTGAAAAGTTCATATGCAAAATGGGGGGAAGAATGAGCAAAGCAGAGATGAAACAAGGAGACAAGGAAAGAGGCAAATGCGAGCTCCCTATCTGACATCAGAAGCGTAAACTGATCCAGACTAGCTTTATTTAAAATAAATACACAACCTCCATCAAAGTACTAATATCTCACATTAAAGAAAAAAGGCCAGTAAACCCCAAGACACTGGAAAAGAATGAAAAACAGAATCTCCTTGGCTGTTAATCAAGCTAAAAGTTTGACACTGTTACAACATTAATGAGATATGGACTGAAACGAAAGCAAGCCAAGCTGCGTGGCGCCCATACGGCCTCCTTTCTGTAGGAGATTATTTAGGTAAACAACTGGGAGAGTGAGGAGGAGGAAACAATGTCTGCAGAGAGCTGGAAATTTACTACAGCTCTGTAACAGCAACCACATATATGTTATTTACTGTCCTCCACAGATTCCTGACTGTCATCCAGGTCCTGATCCAGCATTCCTTCCACAGCCCAAACTCCCACCAAAGCCACTGGGTGTTCAGGGCACACAGCAATACAAGGATCGACTACAACTACACTGCTGCAGTTGCGTACAACTTTCTTTTTCTG